AGCAGGAGGAAAAGGAGCCTGGAGGCACCGCTGGAGCCCGCAGCTTTCCGAACGCATTATCAGCTCCGTGCGTACGGGCAGGTCTTCCAGCTCAACCTGAGCGCTGACGCGGGCTTCGTGGCCGCTCGGTACCGCGTGGTGCACGTCGGGGCCCCGCAGGAGCCGCCGTCCCCGGATCTCCGCCACTGCTTCTACCGAGGGCACGTCAACGCCCGGGAGACGCACGTGGCGGTCTTCAGCGTCTGCGGTGGCTTGGTAAGCGCGTCGGCTGCGTCCTCCTGTCTCCATTCATACTCTTTTCCTCCCTGGAAGAAATATAGCGGGATGCCTTTGCCACAGAGCTGAGCTGAAAATTCTCAGGCATTTTTCCAAGTAGTTGGTCATGAAATGTCTTGGCACAGGCAGTTTGTAGTCATGATGATACTTCTTTGGCGGGATATACAAATGCTGCTTTCAAAGGATCTATTGCTGGCCTGTAATAAAATTGGTTGATGTAACTCTCGACACCAAAAGCACTAGAACAGAGAAAAAAACATGCCTCAGGACACACAGTGTGCTATTGTTTTGATACAGCGATGCTGTTAATCAGCATCAGTTATGTGTTTGTAGGTTTATAGATACTGTGTGGTTATGGGTGAGGAACAGTGGTACTTGAGATAGTGAGAGAACTGGTGTTGATGATTTTGTTCCTTTGCTTTCAGCAGTGCCATAGAGGTTCTCTTGTCTCTCCGTCCCTGCCTGGTTAGTACCTTATAGTTTGTGCCAGGTATGCTTCCACTCAGGAATCCTTCAGTGCCTTTAAACTGGACCTTGTGAACTTTCACCGCAGCTTCCAGCTGGACTCCATGTCCTCAGTCCTTGCCTTGCTGACTGAGTGCCTAGTCTGAGCCACCAGCAAAGGCCTTGCAGTGCTCTTGGGACCTCCTCTCATTGCTCAGTTCACCTTCTGCCCAGGCACACACAGCCTTGCAGAGGAAGGGTATGCAGAATACCCAGCACTGTGGCTGCTTTCCCCTTACTAATGAAGCTGGTGAGGTTTTCAGGAGAGGAAGCATAACCTTGCATGGTGCACTTCTTGTGGGACGTGCCTGTAGTTCTTCAGGGAGGGACTGTGCGGGAAAGAAGAGGTGGTCATAACCAGCTGGTAGCCTAAATCTCTACAAAAGATTGTCCAGCCTCTCTCAGAGTCTTCAGCCTAATATTCTTAATCCTCATGGATTCAAAGTAGATGTTACATTCTTCACTTGACTGCCTGGCAAGACAAGTTTTATAGAGCCCAGAAAAGAATGGATGTGAAAGGAGGGAGATAGAGGCCAGGTGGAATTTTCCTGTGAAATCATACACTCCCTGAAAATGTTCTCCACTCCCAAGTGGAGCTACCCCCAAAAGTTAGTTAGTAGGAAGATGTGTTTTTGTCAGGGTTTTAAAACTTCATAGCTTTGTGCATTCAACAAGTGCACCTGCAAAAATAAGCTAGTCAGTTACTTCTCTTTCACTGAACAGCACCATGCTTCATGAATACAAGCAAAGATTTAAGTGGGACTGCTGCCAAGGTAAGATACTACTTATTGTGAGACGGTAGAAACTAGACTAGTGACTTGGTAGCCCCGTATTTATATCTATTTTAAGTAAGATCCCTTCTTTTAGTAGCATCCATTTTCTTCAGTGCTGAAATTGAGTTCAGTGTATGGAAATTAATTATACCCATTAGTTCAAAACAATCTCTTATATCTTGTCTTCTGGCTTTATATGTACAAGGCAATTGCTGTAGATGAATGCTGTAAAAGCTGGGGAGGAAAACAGAACATGGACTTAAATAAATAGGTACAGGGAACTTAACAATGGAATTAAAAAATTTTCTCTGAGTATGTGCCTGAGTGATCTGAAGTAAAAGCAGTTACTTGAAGTTCAATGTATCCTGTTATGTCTCCAAACTCTGCACTGTCTTCATTCACAGCTTCACTCCTGCTTCTCAAGTTCCTTGTTTCTTTTTTGAATTCTCAAGTTCACTATGTTCTCCCCCTCAAACTATGCTTTCCCTTTTCACCCTCAGTTAAGCCTTTTTCTGAGTGTGCCAAGAGCATGTGCAACCCAGAGTACCCATGGAGCATTACTTAATGGCTCCTGACACTGTATGCAGTTCTGTTGTGTTACATTTCAGAGCATGCTCTGGGTTCAGGGATGCAAATGGCAAAGGGAGGTTAGAAGGTCAGCAGGGAGTCTGTAGTAATTGCCAGGAGGGAGTGTGTAATTAGGGAAGTCTGAGATGCCATCAAAGGCAGAAGGTCACTTGCAGTGATGGCCTGGGTGCCTACTTGAACATCTGATCACATACAGGCATATTTATTCCTCTTTTAATTTTTGAAAAGTCACACTTTGTTTAGCTTTATTTTCCTAACTTCTATATATTTTTTTACTTTTACTGCATTGGTTAGTTATAGCTTTCTACAAACATGAGAAACAAGATCTACTCAGGATATCCCTGTATGCATGTAGACTAAAGAGACATCTCAAGCATCATCCAGACAACAAAATCAAAGAGGTAAAAAAAAAAAGAAGGAAAATTTACCTTTTGAGAGCATTTATTTTGAGAGTTTATTAACAAATACAAATAAATACCAGTCCATAAAGTATCTTAAAATGAGGGAGCCATCACCATTTATAACTAGACCAAACCATCAGTTCCTAGCAGGTCCATATCCAAAGAAAGGAGCTTTATTTTTTGATTTTTAAATCTTGAATGAATGATATAGTAACAGTTTTATTCCTTTGAGAAGCCTGACAGTCTTTCTTGGAGGTCAGGAATATGTTTACTGATGCTACAGATAGTTCAAATCAGTTTTTGTGAGCTAGGAGAATGCGTGCCAAAGGTGTTTTATGTGCCTCAAGGACAAGGTAAGAAAGGAGGAAACATACATCTTTTTGGGTGTTCGGTCTCTGGAATACAGAACCATTTCACATGCTTACTGACTGGCAAAAGTTAGGAGGTAGGAAAGTGCAGGTGGATCTTTTCTTGCACGGCTTTGCTAGCTGTTGGCTTTCTGCAGTCCAGTAAGGCAGGATTGCTTTGTTCAAATGTAGCTTCTGGAGTATGACAAGGTCTGCATGACAGATTCCTTCCTTAGGAGCTCCAGGAAGCCCCTTAGTAACACTGCTGCACATCAAGCTTACTTTTGACTGTTGAATGCCAAGAATATGAACTTAAGTGTAGATCTTCAGAATTTCCTCAGTACAAGAAGTGTTTATTTTTTTAAATAATACAGGTCAGGGGATGACCTTTCTGAGAGATTTTGAAATCAGTTCTTTATGCTCCTATGGATGAGTGCAGTGGTGGTTTTTTTTCAGGAAAAGTAGGCAGTTCTGGAATTTATTTTAATGAAATGTATTTTTTCATTGCTTAGTTTAAGTAAACAAACCCCAGAAAACCACAAAACTTGCTAGAAGGTACTGCTTGCCTAGCTAGCATCTAGTTTCTTGGGGAGATCTAGTGCAGGTAACAGGCTCCAGATGTTTGTTCTGCAGTTTTGTGCTGCCTAGTACAAATAACTTCTAAGACTTAAAGCTGTCTTTGAAAGACATAATTTAACACTTGTAACTGGAAGATGTGCTTAACTTGACATAACTTACTCTTTGATTTATGGACTGTCACTTCAAAAAAAGTTACCTTCTAAATCTGACAGATCAGTTTTCAGCATTCAGATCACATTTATAAACCTATGAGCATCCATAAGCACATACCAGTTTTTCTTGATTTTTATCTTAATATGTAGAGACTCCATCACAGGCTAGGAAAAAATCATATTAAAATGCCAACTCAAGACAGTCAATTTTTGTTTAGACAAACTAAGTCTTATTATTGCTGACTGGCTGGTGTGATGATTTCCACTTAACAGTTCTGGTTTCACTTGTTATGTAGGTGTATAAGGTGAGTCACTAGTCCTGAATCTCTGCAATACAACAGTAAAAAAAATTAAGTTCTTCCATTATCACCCTGTGAGTTTGTTCTATCACCAGCACAAAATAGTTTCAAATAGGACTGACTTTGCAAGTAAAAGATAAGATGTTATTTTTTTGGTTGTTTCTACAGCTAAACAGAACAAAAAATGGATCAGAAAGTAGACCAGACTCTACCTTTCCTACATCTAGATAAAAATTTTGTACTTAATTGCTTTATTTGAATTTTTAATTTATTTTTTTTAATGCTTGCTTCTCTGATTATTTGTTCTTTTGCTCCTGTCATAATTTCACTTAAAATTTTTATCTCATTTACTTTGGTTTTTTTTCCTGTTAGCTTTTCCCTAATATGTATTCTCACAAGCAGGACCAGTTTTTAATATCTCCCCTTCTGTGACACTTATTTAGCATTTTTCAACAGCCTATTTTAATTACTACTGTTTCCTGCTGGTCAAGGCATGAATGGCACATATCTTTTAGTACTGCTATTGCATCTCCTTTTAGCTTTAGATGTCTTTTTCACATACATCTGGAAATAGACCATAACACTTGAATTTACATTATCTGGTATCCTAGAGCCAGTTTCTGCCTGTTTGCTTTTGCAAAATCTGTATTTGTAACACAGTTTGTTTTAAAATAGTAAGACAGCTTAAGTCCCCCCTGTAGCTGTTACAAAAAACCTGAAACATCTCCAGTACATTTTCCCTAGGCTCTTAACATCTTACTTTTCCTGAAAATATCTCTATGAATCCTATGCTTTTGCACATGGACCACCACAGATCAGCAAGTGCAGGCAGTAATTGTAATTTTAAACTGAGAAAATGTATGTAGCTATAAATTGCACAGCTGAAGGTCTGTCACAGAAAATGTCTGTTGGAAGCAGTGGGACCTGCATATGTGTCTGCCTTTTCACCAGCAATTATGCATGACTTGTCCTTTACGTAGGCATGTCCCAGTCTGTTTAACATTTTATGTCATGGGTGCTCAACCATCACTGGCCTGTATTTTGCCCCTGTCCTGTGCCTTCCCAGGCAGCTATTTGAGGACATTCTATCTGCCAGATAAATTGTTCTGATGGCTGCAGCCTCTTCTTAACTGCTGCCTTTATAGGGGATCCATAATCTCATCATTTTGGATTCACACAGGTGAATTTGCTGCAAAGCTGTGGGCAACCACAGGAGGTTGGATTTACTTACATGTATATGAATATGCACATTCATTAAACTTCCAGAAAGTACACAGCAGGTGCTGTGCATGAACATAAGTGATGGGTGTGGGCTGAGGACACAACATACAGCCCT